GCAGTTTGGGAGGATTCCCAAGATTCTGCATTTTTAGGAGTCAATGTCAGTTCATTTCAGATTTAGTAAGAATTCTCTAGGTACTTAAGAAGCAATGAAAAAACTCAGTACAACCCTAGATTAGCAGGGCAGTTTTAGCAACTTCATTTTCACTGCATGATTAATAAAGGCTGAAGCATCACTGTTTTGATTTTAATTTTGAGATCTCCTAATTATACCTGTTTTAATTTGGATACCATTCTCTTTTATATCCACATACTATGCATATAAAGTAAGTACCCAGTAAATATTTATTTTCTGTTGAAACACTACAGTTGATAAATACAGAAAACAAAAATAAATTTTCATAAAAACAGACTTTGGACAAATCATCTTTCAGTCAGTGTTGTGAGTGAAACAGTTGTGTCATGCTATCAGTGTTGAAGGGAACAACAGCTCCATTACAATAGTGTTCTGATTAAACATGGCCTAAAAGTGTGTTGCTGTTTGTGTGCTTAAATTGTCATCCTGTTTTTCACTCCATGTCTTCAGCATTTCTACAAAGTGATACAAAATAATAGGTTTGTCAGAAATAGCAATCTTCACAACCTTATTTTTTTCACGTATACCAGAGTTGTTGTCCCCAGCTGCAGTTACTTCAACTTATCACCATAACAACACCTGCATGCCATGTGTTCGCTGATTGGAGTAAGCTTACAATATTGAGGGCTTCAGCACCAAGATGAATGAATGGTCTCCATTTGTCTCCAAGGAACCATCATATGAAATTAAGATAATTAGAAAAAAGCTGGTCCAGAAAAATATTTTCCTTTTAAAATAGTTTTCATACAGATTGTATGTTTGAGTTTTTGCTGTTATGCATTATTATTCATAATACTTTGAAGTCTTGCTCACCCTGAAAATACGTTTTTTTTATTTAAATACAAATTAAATTATTTATAATAAGACATTTTATTATTAAATGTGCAGAACAACTGGTAGTTATGGTTCTATACACAAATTAGTTTTCTGTTTCATTCATAGTTTCATTCATAGTCAAAGCTGCACAAGAATTTTCAAATTACGATTCAAAGTTCTGCTGTTTCTTTAGCGGTGTTGCTGCTTAAAAGAAAGAAAAGCTGTTGATGAAAAAATCAGTGTCCGAGCCTTCAATTTTCAAACATTCCGTATTATTGAAGCAGTAATTAATTGCACAGTTTTAAAGGTTAATATCAAATGAATATATAGGTAACCTAGCTTTTCTTTTATTGTCGGTGAGTGTTGAAATTTGTTATTACAATACAGGTCTTTCAGAAACCAATCTTTTCTTCTTGTTAACAGTGCTGATAAAGAGCCTCTTGCTAGCAACCTGACAGTTGAACTCCTCTTTAATTCTGTTCTTACTGTTTGTGCTGACACCTTAACACCATTCTTCAGCGTAGCTCCTGATAAATATCTGCAATACATACGTTATGTGTTTGAATGTGTATTAAATTGAAAAAAAAATATTACAAAGAAGGAATTTCCTGAAATAACTTTTTTATTGTTGAGATTTGATTTAAAATAAAATGAGAAGGTAAGACTGCTTAATTACTTTTTGTAAGCTGTGAAGATAGTAGACAGAGTGCCCTTTACGTGTAGCTAGTATTGCTACTGTATTTGTAAGTTTACACAAGCAAGAAGGTCCAAGGGTAATATATGACCTGGGTTTATTCAAGTTTAATCCTAGTGCAAGCTTTTATATGCTGTAACTGTCTCTTTTTGAACATTTTTTCTCTTAGTTTTATTGGCTGACCATCAACTCCTGTAGCTTTGAGCTGAATCTGTGCCTCATTAATGTGATGCACTAAAATATGAAAATGTTATTTTCTCTTGAATAAAAAATGATTTAACAGTGGTTGAAAACCTGTACTCAAGTGAGCTGTCTAGGGGACAGCCACCTGAGTTCCTTTGGCACCCTGGCATAAATGAGTATTTTTATTCCCTCCCTGTAACACCCAAAACCCCTCCCATTTGTGCAATAGTAGGAGCCTTTTTGCCATTTTCAGTGGAAATGTTAACAGGTGACCTTTTATACAAAAGGAAGCAACCTGTTATTGAACAATAATCATGGTCCAGATGCTCTCTGGTAGTCCTAAACCTAGTGGCCTCCATTGATCCTCTGAAAATATGAGAGATTAAATCCTGTATGAATGAAAAAGGTCTGTTGTATTCATAACAGATTAATAGTGTTAATTAAACGTGCATGATTGTCAGACATTTCTTTTGTTTAGTTTTATTTTACGTAACAGAATCTGTCATTTTATGTGGCTATAGCCCTTTTATATTAATAGAGGTGAAGAAGTAAACACAGAACACTTCAACCAGTCAGCTGTGAAATTCCGCCTTAAGTTTGGTCGCCTTCTGATTTAAAAAAAAAATCTTAAAACAGACTTCTGTAAGCGTTTCAATTTTGCATTTAGATTGGGTTGCTTAATGTTTCAATCATCAGAATGAGCAAACAGATTAACTTTTATACTAATTCTGTGATCCATTTAATTTATTTGTAACACAGTTTCATTTTAAAATTGCGGAAAACAAAAATCGACAGATGATCAATTCCATACAAAATGACAAGAAAATTATGCCTCTCTCATCTTTTGACGTTTGCAAAATGTGTTTGCTTAGCATTGAAGTATCCTAAATGTCATTGTCTGATTTCCATCCCTTATGTACATCAGTGCAATGGGATTTTCCAAATTCCTCAGAGCTTAAAACCAGCTCCTTTTGCTAGATCAGTTCACCTGCACAAAGAGACGGTATTTTCCTACGATTAAAAGACGGTCTTTGGTAATACTCTTTGAAAGGAATTAATTACTTTAATCATTTCTGAAAACAACCACAAGAAACTTCTAATGTAAGAATGTAACTTTGTGCTGAAAAAAATCTATTTTGTATTTAATGAAGGTATATTCTTTACACTTCAATGTTTCTAGTTTCTGTAAAAATCGGTTTATTTTCAAATCAACTTCCACATGAATTCACCCAGCCTTGATACTGTTTCACTTATGCATTTTCTGGGTTTCCTTTGCAAGTGGGTTTGGGAGAGGTGAGTGTGCCTGTAACCTTCTGTGTGTTAGATTTCTCAGCTTGTTTAACATTATTTTAGAGGGAATTAAGTTGCCTGCTCGGTAGCACACATCACAGATTTTATCACAAAGCAGGAATTTAGATGCCAGGAAGATGCTCCCAATTCTCTCCCCCCCCCCCCTCTTCCCCACCCCCCATACGCATCATCCATTCTCCTCCCTTTGCGAACTGTAATCCCTTAAATTTGCTCCACATTAGTGTGCAGACACCCTCCCCAAACACACACAAAAAAACAGCTCTCAGTTGAAGGCTCCTCCGCTGATTAAATATGCAGCGTCTCAGGCAGCAGCTTCTAAATTAATCTCAAACTAACCTCCCTACCCCCTCTGTTTTTGTTGCTCCTTTATGATTAATATGGATACTTACATTGCCTCTGTGTGCTGTGCTAGTGATAGCTAGTTTACAAAAATCTAAAAGGTTTTAACGATTGTCTATTATGGCCCTGTAAGGGTTCTCTTTGATTTTACCGTATTTCCCTTGCCTTTGAAATACAGTCTTTAATTAGATTGAATATGTCATATACAGTATACTGTATATATGCTTATTCTTTTTTTCAATATGTCATTCTTCAACCATCTTTTCTCCTTTCATTTTTTCTCATAAAAAGCATACTTTTTCAGAAGGCAAACGGCTGTAGTTTTGTTCTGGTCTCTTGCTGTGGTTTGATGTTAATGTCTCCAGGTTTAAGCAACGGTCAGCGGTTGAATTTCGGAAGAGCTTTTTACCCTGTCGGGCCATGTCATTTGTTTCAGTCATGTCTTCTCAAGGAGCGAGCAAGACAAATAGAGAAACAGAAAGAAGAAAACCCTGTCATCAACACTCACTGCCTAGACGTGAAACACAGCTTTTGTGGGTACATAAAGGAGACACAGTAGTACACACAGAGCAAGGCTGGCAAAAAAAAATAGTAGTCGTGGACTGACCCATAAATTATTTAGTGTTAATTTTATTTATTTTTAGCCGGGATGTTTGTGTTTTATGATACTAAATTGTGCGCCAACAAGCCGTACTTAACCACGGCATCAAAATACATTTTCTTCAAAGAGTGTGCATGTGTGTGACCAGCATCCTTATGAAAGGCTGCTTCTTGCCTGTGGGGTGCTGCAGCAGTCAAATTGAGCCAGTGCTGAGGCCTGTTCTGAAGCACAGCTATAATAAGCCTCACTCTGCAGCAGGCGAACTAAGCAGGTTAGAACACGAGCACATTTTGTGCTGATGAATAAACACAAATCAACAGGGAGAGAGAAAAAAAAGTTTGCAGGATTCATTTTTCCATTTGATGATGCTGGAGAAATGTAACATTCAGCGTGATGGAAGACGCTGATATGTGACAAACAGGATAAACAAGCTTTTTGTTTGAGAAGGTCTTTTCCAGCAGTGCTCTGTCTGCTTCTTTTGTGCTTGGCAAAACACTAGCAAAAACAGGCTGAACCTTTCCGATTCAGTAATTTATTTTCCTGCTGGATAAGAATCTGTTTTCAGCCCTAGATTACAGATTGCAGAACAGAGCACTCTCAGATAGTCACCGATGAGGAGAAAAATGAGTGGAGCGACTTGTGGATAAATGACAGGCCTGTTCCTAGCACGTATCACAGTGCCTGATGCACTCTTTGTGCCTCCCATTCCTACCGTCATAAAAGAGAACTAATTGCAATGCACATGAGTCCTTGAACCAGTTATGTTCCACAACGAGAAATGGTGTAAAATGCACGCGGAGCTCTGCTGGATATCTTTGAAGTGTGCTGAATGAGGAGGTTCGGCCCCTCCTTCACAGGAACGTAAAAGGTTTTACACGGTTTGCGTTTTCTGAGCGTACGTTTCACACTGGGGATGTTAAATAGGCCTTATTTTTTAACCTTACCAGGTTTTTTTTTTCTTGCTTTCTTTCACAGAAGCTTGCAGTAAGAAGTTGTCCTGTTGGGAACACCAAACCCATCTCTCTCATCAAGCCACCCAACCAGAGCATAGCAATTTCAGTGGTGCCGGCAAAGAATCCTGTTTCCATGGTTACCGCACACATTAACGGACAAAAGGCAGCAAGTACTGAGCCACTGCAGACAGCCCCAATCAACCTACAAACAGCAAACAAAGTGGTGGGAAACAGCCTAAACTCCGTGGGAAGGAGAGTCGCAGAGATACCAAACTCACAGGTAGAGAACAAGCACTACAGCTCTATCAACTTTTTACAGTTTAACAAAAGTTGTTACAGACCATGACAATTGTTGCAGAATATAAGCCAGTGAAAGCACGTTTTCTGACACTTGTTTTGGAAGTACTTAACTGGAGAACATCAGGATAATTTGTGTTCTTCTTCTCTCACCTAAAAGGAGGTTTTCAGCACCAGCAAGTATTTTGTATTTCAAAAGATGTTTCAAAAGGTTCAGAATCTCTTTAATGGATTTCCTTAGCATATGTAAAATGTGGAACACATTCTTTTTCAAATTTTCAAAGTCTCAAATTGGCAGTAGTTTTAAATATTTTCTCAGTGAAGAAATTCAAAGAGGATGTGGGGCCTACCTTTAATTTCTTTGTGTAGATAATAACCTATTTATTTATTGAGGTCATTTTTCATTCTTATAGTTGACACTTGAATTACATGTTACATTAACTGATTCAGATCAGTTTCTGTCATTGTTTCATTACAGACCTTCCATATCATATGCTTGTTGAAATCCTACTCAATAAACTAAGGGGCAGAAGTGTTTGGAAAAGTGTAAAGTCCCACATTGGCAGTGATGCCAGCAAGTAGTTGGAGTGATTGCTTATAACCTCAAACTCACTTTTTTCAATCACAAAATGGATTGAAAAACACATAAAGAAGTGTCTCACAACTGGTGTTTGAAGACTCCACAGCCCATTGACCTTTAAGTTTATGCAGACACAATTGCAAGTCACTGAAAAAAAAACATCAGAAAAATAAAGCCCTGATGTTTCAGAAAATACTTTTCTTCACAAAATAAAAGTGGTAAAATCTCACAAAGTTACGGCTTATAATTATATATAGAATAATTACAGATTCTAGAAGCCACTTAACTAATGTTGTGCTTAATAGCCAGATTTAAACTCTTGTTTTCATAATTTGCAATATTTTTTTCAATTCTTCCTGTTGTCCAGATTGGTATATATTGTTTGTAGCAGTGTCTTTTCCCAAGGATGTATTTTTGTGTTTCTTGTAACATTGAGGTAGACAACAGTTATGGCTTATTTGCTTTACTGCGTGGCACACCTTCATTCATTTTCAGCTCAGTTGAAGTGTGCATCCTGTGGCTTGCTACAAGACAGAGAAGCCAACATAAATGCAGTTTATGTTGAATGCATTTTGTTTGGTCTCAAATAACAACAGAGATTAGATTATCTTCAATCTTATTTGGCTTCATTTCAGACCAGTTCATTCTTTTATTTTTTTCCCATTTGTTTGAAATACGTCACCTACTATTACATTATCACACTTGAAAACATTCCAAGCACAGACAGTAGCTGTTGGATCACAGCCTCACTCAGCTACTGTTTGTTCCATCTGTGTCTCTGTCAGTGCTGTAGCTGATATGCTTTTTTAATCGTGTTGCAATGCCTGAGATCTGGTCTGTTCTGGGTACTTAAGGACCATCAGTTAATACTTTGGTGTGAAGTCAGCTAGTATTAATTTTAGACTTTGATTTCCATGCTTAAAATTGAGCCCATGACAAAATAAATGTGTGCACAGACATTGGCTAAATGCTAGAATATCTAGTGGAAGAAAGGAGCAACATTCATTCAGCCATCAAAGAATTGATAATAGGTTTAATTAGTTATTATTTTAATCTGTGTATTTATCCAAATTATATACACAGTAAAAGTATTTTTTTTTCTATTTAAACATGCGCACACACATCCATAATATATGCAGTAGATAAAGCTTTGTGTTCTGTATTTTTAAGTATGTGGTATTGCGTCTCATTTTTTAAGACTACTGATGGGTGGGTGTATTTCTTCAAAGTGTCAGTCTCATCAAACATACACCAGATTTTGCGTGGTGCATAAACATTGCACGTCACACTTTATCGCTTAAGGTTACATGCTTCTGTTCTTTTTGAGTGACAGATTTAAAACCAAATGCAAAAGTATGAAAATAAAAAATTAAACAGAGACCAACCTGAATATATACATGAGCATTGGTTGCTAAAGAATGCTGTTTGTTTCAGCAGTAAATGGCACACAAGTCCTCATTATGTAATTTAATCTGAATTGAGGTCAGAACCAACACACTTCATAAATACTGTTTTGTTTTATACCTCATCTGTTCTACCTTCTACTCTTGTCCCTTGTCTTGTGTGCCTGTGGTTGTGAACACATTTATCAATGTCTACAGCCTAACTGTAGTTAATTTCTACTGTTAATTCCTCTTTTTTTTGGTTTCCATTTTAATTCTGAAATTGATTTTCAGAAAGTTCATGACTATAAGCGATTCAATGAAGAAGACACATTTGAAAGTTATTTTTTTTGGCTCTGGTTTTTGTTGTGGGTTGTATCAGACAGCTCCACAAACTTTTGAAATAAAACAGTGAAATCAGGCAGATGGAGATGTTTTTAAACAACAGTTATTTCTGTTTCATTGGCTATTCAAAGATTTTTTTTGTCTATTCCACATATAGAAAGAAAATGATTAATGTTTTGTTCTCCTCACCACAATTACAATCGTGATTGAAGCCAATAGGCATTTTTAGCTTTTTTCTATTTTTGTTTGTAAATTTTCACCAGAAGAGATTAATTGATGATTCACTTCTGATAATCCCCTGCTGAATTTGTTTAAAGCATTAAGATACAGTAATTCTGTAGGTTGTCAAATTAGGCAGCAAAAAACATTCTTACACTGTGTACTGATCTGTTTATGTCACTAAAGTACAGTTACAAAAAAAGCCAAGATGATGTTGAAGGTTAAGGTAATACATGGAAAACTAAAATATATTTATAGTATCGTTTATGCAACCCCTCTCTCCAAACTAACATTTTTCTAAATGCCCTGTGCCGTGTCTTTGTTATCTCCTCTTCTGTGGCACTACAGAGATGCAGTAAAATGGGTAACACTCTCTCCATTCAGTGGGACAAAACAGTGTTGAAGAAATTATAATTACATGGCTACCTGCAGCATTCTGGGAATGCTACGTGTTGCCATTTTACTGTGATGGACAGTCAGGAATATCAGTCAAATCAGTTGTTTCTGACTATGGCTGATTCCTATATTGTATCATAGCGCTTGGCATTAGTAGAGCTCACAGATGTCTGTGTCCATTTCCAGTTTCTGTCCAGGGGTTTAATCGAACCTTCTCTAATTGAAACCCCCCTGTTCCCAAACAACAACAAGACGTGTCTTGTCTTAGACTGTCTTATGCGGTCACATGAAGCATTTGGCCTTCGTTCTTCATTCACTGCTCCCTCGTCATATCCAAACCTGGGGACAGCCCGCGCTTTTCACCAGCGACCACGTTTGATTTTATGAAATCAGAATTATGACCCTTTTTATTTGGCTCCCCTTCTCTTGGAAATCCTACCCTCCAACTCCAGCTGACATGCTTCATAAGCTTCAACAGTGAACTCCATTACCGCGGGAATGGAATAAAGTGCCTGTTCAGTGTTTTATCAGCCTGTAACTCACTGAGCTGAGGGTGCCTGCCTGTTTGCAATCCCTGCAAGCAGCGACCCTTCAAAGATTTTTTTTCCCCCCTCTTTCTCCACCCATCATTGTCAAGACAAGTCAAAACAGGGTCAAGCAACTTTATTGTTTTACCGTTTTTATTGTTTTATTGTTTCTGGGTGAAATCCTAAGGGGTTAGTATGGCATACAATTTAACAGCTCCTTCCAGCTGGCTCATTTATGGCACCAAACAGAAATTGAATACAAAGCAGCAATGGTACTGTTGTCCTGTGAATGGATTAGTAGAGAAAACATTAAAACATTGGTGATACTGTTGTGCCACCTTGGCTGGTGTGTATATACGTTGTATTCTTACAGGAAAACAAATCTGACCATATAAATTGATTTTGGGAGGACAGTTCGTTTTAGGTCTTTCATGTTAGTTGTTAGAAATATATATTGGATATAATTGTAATGAAACCCAAGCATGTGACTCGAAGAAACAAAGACAATTGCACTCGGCAATATTAGGAACTGTTACAAATCAAAAGTAAACCTTAATATCTGTTGAGCTGTTCTTTATTTACCTCATAACCATGGCCTAAGCTTAAACCAGAATTTGTCATATTACCTAGTCCCACTTCTGTGATTTCTTTCTTTTTGAGCTGTTTTAAGTTGAGTAATGTAGTTTTCATAAACAAAAAAAATATTAGAAGAAAATTATTTCAGAAATGTGTATAATGTGCGAGTGCCAGAGTGGTGTGATGGTTAGCAATGCAAACTTACAGCTGTTGTGTCCTGGGCTCAGTTCCAGACAGCGGCTCCTTCCGTGTGGTGTTTGCATGTTCTCACCATGTCCCTGTCGGTTTTCTTCAGGTGCTCTGGTTTTTCTCACATTCTAAAGACACAGAGTAGTTTAATGGTGTTGTGACTGTGTTGTTTGAGAGTCCAACCACTGGATACACTCTAGTTTCATATGCCACATGGGGATAGACTCTGAGACACTTGACCAGGACCAGAGCCATTGACCTTCTCCCAACAGCTCATATCAATCTTTCTGATAATGGCCGGATGTTCCTGGCTTGCAGAGTAACGACTATCACAAAATAGTTCTTCAAAAGAAAAACAATTGAAAATAAAAGCTCATTCATATACCCACCCCCTGGAATGAAAAAAAAAATGTATTGAATGTTTCTAAAGCGGTCATATAGCTTTGTTGCAAAGTAGCTCCGAAAGCACTGGAACTTACTATGTATCCATTAAAGTCCCGTCGTTTTTTTTATGCCTACTCATGTTCAAATAAACCTTGCTGTGTTTTTTTGCCTTGTTAATATCTGTGTTTCTTACATCCACTGTCGATAAAGATCAAGCACGGTCAGCTGGTAAAACTGTTACACAGCATGCTAATGAAGATACTTTTTAAGCCGTGTGCTGCATTGAAGACAAAGTTTGTTGTGCGTGTTGTCTGCTGAATTGTTTAGTCCTTTAGGGATACTTTGCGAGATTGTGAAGATGTGCAGCCGTGTGCTGCATTGAAGA